TATTTGTTTTGATTCTGAATTCATAGACATGCCCACTGCAAGTAAAATTACTAGTCTAAAAAAAGGAAGTGAGAGTAGAATTATATGTAATCTACCATGGTGGAAGTGCCTTGATGTCAAAAAAATATACCTTTGTTATCGTCTTCAATTCAGTTATCATCTCAAAATTTTATAAATAGACAAAAGCAAAAAAAGCAATTGCTATACCTGGATGCACAGACATACCAAATTATAAAGCTGTGAATGACAAAACTTGGTTTTCACCCAAAACAAAGCAAAAAAAAAAGTCTCCAATATTTTGTGAGTATTATGGTGCATTTACATTAAGTTGTTTGTCAGGTATGAAGAGGTGATTGTCAAAGCTAATTTTATTGTATTGTAGTTGCATTCCAGTATTGAAGGAGATACTATGTCTGAAAGAAAATTGTCATCATATTCTTATCAGGAATATGGTTTTGAAAATTTTCTTCATTTTATCTCTATAGTCATCTATTTATATCTTATCATATCACATCACATCAGTCTAGGTTTGTTATCTGTCTTTAACTCTGTATTGCATTCCTAAATGGTGTACAAATTTTGCCCAGGAAAGAGACAATGATTCAACTATATTTTGCAGCCAGCTAATTTATTTTCACGGTAGGTTAAATGCAGGGCAGCTCAGTTAAAGTGTTTCCTTTACTTTAAGAAAAAGTCTCATAGAAATCTAATTAGATTTCTACAGTTGTGTTACATTTGGGAGCCAAGTAGTTTTTAGACAAAACAGGCTCTTGCAGCTGAGGCTGTCATTTAGTTCAAGGCGGTACTCTCTTTTCCTGAAATTTGGAGATTTTAAAAGTGTCTCTTAGACAACGCAAAGTAGTTAGTTTTAAGTATAAAATTTTAATTTTGGAATCTTAGATCTTTTGATGTATTCTCACTACTACTAACTTTAAGCTAATACATTTTTAATTATACCTTTGCATAATGATAATTCAGCATATTATAATTAAATTTTGAATTTTCTGAGCCATATTTATTGAGAGACAAATTATAATCCAATATTATCCTTCTTTGCTTCAGTCTTTACTGCTAAGACTGGTCCCCAAGGACCCCAGATGCTGGAAGTAAGAGAAAAAGTCTGGAAAAAGGAAGACTTCCTCTTGGTTGAACAGGAGAGGTGCCCGAGGACTGGAGGAAAGCCAATGTCACTCCAATCTTCAAAAAGGGCAAGAAGGAGGACCCAGGAGACTACAGGCCAGTCAGCCTCACCTCCATCTCTGGAAAGGGGTTGGAACAGCTCATCCTGGATGTCATCTCTAAGCATGTGGAGGAAAAGAAGGTTATTGGGAATGGTCAACATGGATTCACCAAGGGGAAATCACGCTTCATCAATATGATAGCCTTCTGTGATAGCATGACTAGCTGGGTGGAGGAGGGGAGATCAGTGGATGTTGTCTACCTCAACTTCAGCAGGGCTTTCGACACTGTCTCCCATAACATCCTCATAGGCAAGCTTAGGAAGTGTGGGTTAGAAGAATGGACAGTGAGTTGGATTGAGAACTGGCTGAATGGCAGAGCTCAGAGGGTTGTGATCAGTGGCACAGAGTCCAGTTGGAGGCCTGTAACTAGCAGTATTCCCCAGGGGTCAGTACTGAACCCAGTCTTGTTCAACACATTCATCAGCGACCTGGATGAGGGAACAGAGTGTTCCCTCACTAAGTTTGCTGATGACACAAAACTGGGAGGAGTGACTGATACGCCAGAAGGGTGTGCCACCGTTCAACAAGGCCTGGACAGGCTAGAGTATTGGGTGGAGAGGAACATAATGAAGTTCAACAAGGGCAAGTGTAGGGTACTGCACCTAGGGAGGAATAACCCCATGCACTGGTACAGGTTAGAGGCTGTGCTGCTGGAAAGCAGCTCTGCAGAGAGGGAACTGGGAGTCCTGGTGGACAGCAAGTTGACCATGAGCCAGCAATGTGCCCTTGTGGCCAAGAAGGCGAATGGTCTCCTGGGGTGCATTAAAAAGAGGGTGGCCAGCAGGTCAGGGAGGTCATCCTTCCTTTCTACTCTGCCCTGGTGAGGCCATGTCTGGGGTACTGTGTCTGGTTCTGCACTCCCCAGTTCAAGAAAGGCAAGGAACTACTGGAGAGAGTCCAGCAGAGGGCTATGAAGATGACCAGGGGTCTGGAGCACCTCTCTTATGAGGAAAGACTGAGAGACCTGGGTCTGTTTAGCCTGGAGAAGAGAAGACTGAAATGGGATGTTATCAATGCTTAGAAATATCTAAAGGGCAGGTGTCAAGAGGATGGGGCCAGACTCTTTTCAGTCATGCCCTGTGACAGGACAAGGGGCAACAGGCACAAACTGGAACATGGGAAATTCTGTCTCAACGTGAGGAAAAATTTTTTTTCTTTGAGGGTGACAGAGCACTGGAACAGGCTGCCCAGAGAGGCTGTGGAGTCTCCTTCTCTGGAGAAATTCAAAACCTGCCTGGATGCATTCCTGTGCAACCTGCTCTATATGAACCTGCTTTAGCACAGGGCTTGGACTAGGTGATGTCTAGAGGTGCCTTCCAACCTTTAATCACCATTCTGTGATTAAAATTCCTATATAAATGTAAACAATGAAATCCATTTTTAGGTATCTATGTGACTAGCTAATTCAGACACATTTTACTCCTGAGTATTTGCAGCTCCTCCTGAAATTTGAAGGATAATCCAGTTGTAAACAGGTTTACACAAGGATATCAATGCCTCAGTTTCAGAACCCAAGTTTGAAAATATTGACTTACATGGCCAATTCTTCCCCTTTAAAATTTCCTTTACAACAAAAGAATTTGATCATGATAAACAGATTTGGGTTTTTTTAATTATTAAATGCAAAACAAATAGTGCATCCAATTAATTAGCCAGTTAAGGAAGACAGCTGTCCATTCCTGCCATACTGAGGTTTTCAGTTACCAATGTGCACAATGACTCTTAGCTTGCTTTCAAAATTTCTTGGACAGCCGCTCATCAAGTGTTAGTCTCATGCTTTGTAAAACAGAACCCTTAAACGGTCATGACTTTACAGCACATTTTCAGGTGATGAAAATAGTTTTACCATCATTCCAATCTACTGATTTCATGACTTTCTTCTTTTCAGTAGCACATTACAAAACAATTTAGGATGATGAAAACAGTTCTTCTGTCATTCTAATTTACTTATTACACAAGGCTCCTCATTACAGCAGCTCATTGTCTTGATGAATCACCCAAATTTTGAATGTAAAGGACAGTGAATTGTCTTTTTGAGATTAATGAAACTTTGTAAAAATAATTTGAAATGAAGTCTGAAAAACAGTCTATATAATCCAGAAAGCGTCAGCACTTTGAAGTATTGCAATAACTGCTGCTCTGCATTCTATTGGTATTCCTTTACATTTATGAATAGGAATAAAGGTATACATCAAAGGAACTGATGAAATATTTGTGATGTATTTTTATTTCTACATTTTATTTATATAATTATTAAACCATGAGAAGTTCTCATCTCATTCCTGTAGGAAAGCACAGAATCTAACAGTTTACTTACAAACAAAGATTTCTTGAATCTAGTATTAAGAAGGTTTAAGAAGTTATGTAGTGTTAAAACATTTACAAGGCATTTTAAATCAATTTCTTTGAAGGGATCATTGTATGCCATCAGCAAGGTGCTAATTACATAAAAAGGAATGGATGTATGGTCTGCATTTTTTTTTCCCTTAGATAGTTAATTTGCATTCCTCCTAACTGCTTCTGGAACAAAAATAAGTCATGATTCAGCAGAAAATATATCCGTGAGATGATCCTTATCATGACTATAGCAATCTGCTAGTGACTGTTTATTTTACACAGTTTTTAATGTGTAAAACAAATTTGCCTACTGATCTAGACACAAGGAAATAAAAGATTCCTTGAAAATGTTTGCAGTTGTCAGTTTCTAAAAGCAATCTAATCATAACATAGATGAGACAAAAAGCTACAACTTTCAAGTGTTTAAAACCTGTAATATCTGTAAAACGATGTTGATAAGGTTGATAATTGGGAATTTATAATTTCTACATCTTGTCTTTTAAAATTTACTTCCACATGAACCTAAAAGTCCTACTGATTTGTAGAAAAATGGAAAATGTAAGTGTAAATGAGTTTACTACTTTCGCTGATATTTTTAAAGATGTTTTTCTCTAAATCTGTGTCAGTTTGGAATAAGAACCTGGATTTAAATTCCATGTTGAAAGTGATTAATCCATTCTTTCCCAAAGCATGAACGCATTACCACTCTTTAGGTCTTTTCAAATGAATTGAGAGATGGTTATGCATGGTGCGCTTGTAGTGGAATTGTTTTTTCTTTGTAAAAGATTTTAAGCTTCTTTAAGAAAATCAAGAAAATAATTGAATAATTGAAGGTTTTGGGTTTGGTGTGTTTTTTTTTTTTTTTCTCTAACTAATAAAATCGGGAAACTGTGGTGAGATCTAGCGGCAAGTAGTTTGATGTCCTCAGCAGGACACCAAAAGTCAGAAGTAGTGCTGTAAATTCAGTGTGGGGCTTCGACACTGTGCTAAGTGTGGCCTGAATCTCTGGGGCTTCCCTTTGATGCAAGTGCAGTATATTAACTGGAAAAGCATTCACTTTTATTTGTCTGTACTGTCTGCGACAGCAATATCGCCTCATTTAGGCTAGTTCAACATGAAAATGCACAGAGAAGCAATCTGTTACAAATTAGCACAGCTCCCCTTTCATTTTACTAGCTAGTAATTGGAAGGGGTTACAAAAGTGTAATTTATCAGATTATATGTGTTTATCTTTTTGTGGGGACAGCATGCCTTTGGTGAATTTTCCTACGCACCCTGAGGGAATAATCTTTCCTTGATGTCCATTAGATCTGAAAGAAAACAATGACGCCTGTGAAATATAGGAGTATAATTTGTTGGGTTTGAGAAGGAACAGTTTCCCAGACATCTAAAATGGTATTAATGACTTTATTAGAACCTTACCGTTCCTTGGAAATGCTTTTGCTCTCTCGTTTCCAAATGGTCTTGAAGTCACTGCAGAATTCGTACCACACCGTGAAAACGTAGTTTGGCGTGATCTCCTTCTCGCCAGGCTTTGGCTTTATCCCAAAGTATCCCACTGTTTCTTCAAAGCTATGAGGGAGGGGGGGAAAAAAAACTGTCAACACATAAGCCCACTGGGGAAACAGTTTTTCTGAGGGCTGGTTCCCCATTCAGTAGTCAAGGCTGGTAATTACCCTAACTTCCCCTTAGCCTTGGAAATCATAGCAGCAATTCACGCCGAGTATAACTAACCTTCCAACACCTACCTCAGTCCCGGGAGGATAACTTACAGATGCATGAGCTGTCATAGAGATACTTCACACAGGCAAATCATGGGCATTCAATTTTAATGAGAAAAACTTAACTTCTTGCATTTCAGGAAATTCTGTGTTATATCTATTTCTTTAATATTATTCTGCAACACTCCACGAAGATCTTACTCTCCCATTTATCTTTATTGAAGGACTATGAAAGGGTCACATGCCAAATCAGGAAAAAATCTCCAGGCTTGGTTAAAAATAGCCTTCAAGTACTTAGGGAGAACTGGAGTAGCAACAAAAAAGTCACAGACAGTGCCAATTGCCAGTTTGGAGAGTTTCTACCAAAAATAAATCTTCTCCTTCCACATGTGTCAATAAGCAGATAATTAATTTTATGAAAATACATTGGCAATATTTTAATGCTTTTTTATTTTAAAGTGTGGCTACTGAATTGGATTACAGCTGGATATTTTCAAAGTAGTCTTTTACTGTAGAGGATACTTCCAATAGTATTTTTAATGACTGTGCATTTTTAACTGATTGTGCATTTCTAACCTTTATGATATTGCTTTGCATAGATAAAATGGAATGATTCACATGACTAGGAACGTGGAGATTTATCTAAAGAAAAAGAAAGTATGTTCACTTTTGTAAAGGTTGAACCACTTTTCTCTGCAAGGTAGATGTAACAAACCTGAAAGATTGGTGATACTTATTAAAATAATGCTATAATTTAAAAAGAAAGGTAACAACATATTTCAAAATAACTAATTTTTCTTCAAATATTGAATTTATTTAAGCAAAAGAAAGTAGTATTCTTCTTTACAGTTGCCAATAAGTCCTAAATCTAGAACACAGGAAGTGTAAACCTTGAAAATAAAATAAAATAATTAAGAGGTATTTTAAAGACTTGTAAGGAGTCCCCAACTATGCAACAGAAGTTACTTGAGCAGCAGCTTCAGCAAATACTTCTTTCTTAACTTTTACTTGCATTTGAATAGTCCATATTGCATGTTTTCATACAAAATTGCCAAGGTTAGGGTCAAGGGTTTTTTTGCCCTAGGCTGAGATTCAAGCTTTTAGCTAGGCTTGAAGAATATAAATTAACTATCAAAAATACAGAAGTTACCCCCCCAAAATAAAGGAATATATACTCCGGCTGCTTCACAAAGTAAAGCAGCTTGGATTTTAGCCACACAAGACAATATGCTCTCAGGTTTTTGCTACTTTAAAGATGGACACAGCTTCTAGGACATGCCAAAGAATATCACACATTGCTCAAGGTGAGCTATTAGTATTTTTTTAAATCCCCATATATGATAACCTTAGCCTTTAACATTTCTTGCATAGGTTTTGTATGAAACGTGACCATATTTCAAGTTAATTGGAATCACAATTAAATATGTATGAATAAGCCCATAATATTCAGAGTTGAAGGGTCCTGTAGTGACACTACAAGGAGAAAATCAATCAATAAATAAAGAGCTAATGCAGCTTTAAATATCTGTGCAAACCATTCCGGGATTTCAAACGCTAAAAATAGTAAAATACTTCAGTCACAATCATATGGTTAAACCAGTTTGTGTCTACCAGGAAATGTCACTTCCATTATATTCACTTGGGCCAAATACTCCTCAGCTGTTCATACGCCTTGACGAGGCTAGCTGAGCCAGGAAGAGCAAGACCAGAAACTCCCTTCTCAGGTTTGCTTCATGTAACAGCAGCCCCGTTAACATCATGCTCTCTTCTTCCTAACGGAACCCTTCTCCATCCCAGCTGTAGCCGATCCAGTTGTCTCTGCATGCTCTGGGATTCTGAATTCCTGCATGCTCTCTCACTCTGCCGTCACCCTGACACTTACTCCTCATCCCCGCTTCATGGTTCATCTTCAGCCCTTCCCCCAGTAGCACTGTTTTGCTTTCACACAGCTTAATTTAGCTTCCTCGGCTGCTTTCTGACTTTCAGCAGTAACAGATCTTTTTAGCAGTAATTTAAAATACTGAATGTTTAGATAGCAATTGAAAAACCCAGACTCCGTATCAGTCAACTCCAAATTAAATGTACCCCGTGCCCTGGAGGGTCTACTCTGCTCCAGAAAGGCTAAAAAGCAGGTAGAATATGAAAGAGTCTGTGCAACAAAAGATAGGTTTGGAGCTCTGTAGAAAGGGAACAAGCCAGGCAGCCACCCTTGACAAATGAAATCAAGAAGTAAAGCCCCAGTTGATATAGCCAATAGTTCAGCCAATTTAGGCACCTTCTGCGAGCAAATGGAAACAGTTCACCTAAGACTTGAACTACATTTGGGAGGTGCCTATCTCTCTTTTCTTGACTGTACAGGAAGACTAACCGAGGTGTCTCAGTTCGGTGGAGTGACTCTGGGCTCAGAAAAGTAACATAAAAATCCAAACTACCACAGATCTGCCTCTAGTGACAGCAAAGAAAAAATATTGGTAAGAAGTCAAAAATTAATTTACCCAATTGATTTATAGCAGTTCCATAGTGAACACAAACAAGGTTAGAGGCAGATCCTTCACTCTCACAAAACTATAATTTGGTAAACAATATTTATTAGAAATACTAACTTATTAAATATTTTACTATCTATCTATAAATCCATTTATCTTGCTTCTCCCCCTATTTTGCCTCCTTTGACTTGAGTAAGGCACAGATATTCAGGCAAAAAACCGTTAGGATTTCACTGGTTTAGTGTACTGCATTCAACAGCTTAAGTGATGAAAATGTTCAGTGATGACAAAATCCATTTTTGCTGCATTAGGTAGTTAATCAGTTATTACAATATTCTGTAAAACTTTGACTCAATTCAATGTTGACAGCAATTAAAACCTCAAACACTGTACACTGTTTGGCTAAAAACCCAACTAAACTTTTTCTTGTAAGAGCACATAAGAATTTTTCAGAAAGTATATTACTTCTTTGAAGCAGATCCTTTTTCCTATTTAATGTAATTCCTAGGATCAATAACATCTTCGACCAAAATAAACTGGTAGAGAACACAAGCAAAAACCTTACCATTTTTGTGCATTTTCCAAACTGCTCTCTTCTCTTTTACGTTCTTCTTTAGCTGCCAATGAAAAACATTTTAAAGATATACATTACTGCCTTACTGTTTTACAGTTCTCACAAATTAAACATCTCTTACATTCAGAATTGGATAGGTTGTATACTAAATATAATAAAAGTGATAAACATTTTCAATTTTTATTTATTTCATGTACTTAGATCAATGCTTCTAATGTACCAATAAAGTGTATTGGATTGGAAAAGTCATTTGAAATCCATACTACAATGTATAGTTGTACATATTAATTTGAATAAAAAGCAAAAATTTAAATTTGACTTTGAGGTTTAAAAAAAAAAACATTAAGCTGTGAATGTTTCTTTATTGTTGCAGATAACTTCCAAATTTAAACCTGTTTTTGCAGTGCAAATAATTGGAAGTTCAATTGGAAGTTCAATTGGAATTGAACAGGTACCAAACATAGTTAACACCAACTGTTCCATATAGCTATCACATTTTGTTCAGGAAGCTGGAAAATGAAAACACATGTACTAAGCTTTAAAAGTATGGTATGTACACGATATTTTTTGAAAAAGCAGCCAAGAGTTTGAAATATGATTAGTGAATCTAAGCCCCTCTGTTACAGAATGCTCACATGAACTACTTAAAAGGATTTGATTTTCAAAGGATGGGCACTGTCTACCTTTGAAAATGTTTCCTGAGCTGGATACTCAAGCAAAGCACTATTTTTTTCACAAAATCTTGATCAATTCTTCTTAATACAGTGGAGCAGCTTTAGCTGCAGCAGAATACCACATATGTAAAACAATACCAACATGGGAAAGTTATTCCTATTCTGCATTAGAATAATCCTGTAAGTGCAAACGTTAATATAAACAGAATTCAGACACTTCTTTATACAAAGATAAAGAACTGTGTCTTTTTGCTGCTCAGTCTATAGGAGTGCATTGGCCGGTTAAAATACAGTTACAAACTTGAGTTTACAGATAAGGTCACTGAGAAATTGATCCTGAATGGTTCAATTTCATTATAAGGCTACTGACACAGAGCTTTGTACCAAGACAGTTAAAATAATTTAAAAACTGGATGACTTCAGAATATTGGCTGTCAACAAAACAAATTAATTTCAACTCATATGTTTACCTATATTGGGCAAGTGTGTTGGAGATACTTATTCACATTATCAAAGCCAGAAACAATGTTGTGTACCTTTTGCAAGGAAAACAATTAATTCTATACCATTATATTCTCCACCTCAAATCTTGGTGGCAAGACAGCTGCAATTGAAATAGATAGGGCAGTTCTGATTTATTGTGGTTATCTCAGGCTCTTGAGAAATTCAGCTAACGTTAACCTCCTATACTTAATTAATTACTTCCACCACTCTTTCATTTTATATTATTAAAACTAGAAAACATAGGTTGGAATTCTGATGGTTCATCATGACATGAAACTAACTACACATAGAAACCCAAAGATGGTTAAAAGCTGAACTGTGTCTAAAATTGTACACTTTAGGATTACATTAATAATTTCTTTCTGGTTGTTAAGGAGGTGAAAAATTGTTAAGTAAGGCAAATTTCCAAGCATAACTACTTTCACAGCTACAATAGAAACTGAATATCCTCAGGCCTCTGCACATGAGCAAGAACGCAATAACTAACAAGGACAACTTGCTTATACATTTATAGTTAGGTGGTAAGACCTGATTTACTGTTTTTTATTCTTGAAAGAATAGAATAAGGGAAGATAGAGGAAAGAAATTTTCATTTGTTATAGAAAGTAGAAAAAAGGTATGACTTCTAGGAAGGAACACCCAAAGTTTACATGAATGTAACAGTGTGTGTTTGTGTACCAATATAAGGGAAAAGAGGAAGAAAATAACTGTATTATATGATAAACAGTATTTTCCATATTTTTAACTATAAGCATGTCTACCAAGGAACTATTTAAAAGTATTTATTTGAAAGATAGATGTTAAGACTTGTTAAGAAAACAAACAACTCTATGCAACAAATTCTAAGTAAATAGCAGTTACAGATACTACATAACATGTAAGACAAGAAACCAGAGCAATTGTCTAATCTTTCATACCATTTCTAAGTAATCTTCCACTCGGAATTTGTAATATCCTGCTCTTTTTCTCCCCCTCCACAACAACTAACACTATCAGTGCTGTCAATAAAGGTTTCCACAAAACATAGTGTTTTCCTCAACAGAGTCCTCAAAGCCCCATAGTCAAGGTATCAATCCTCATCTTAATTCATGGAATTACTGAAAGCAATTAAAATGAATTATGTAAATGAAGGAGCTTCTTTCTTTTTTTTTTTCTCTGGCAACACCACATTTGCTGGCATAGAATTTCCCTTTTGCTGTAGTGGGATCATGTAATTCTTTCATCCTTTGACCACATGCTTGATTTCAGTTTCCTCAGTTTCCTTAGGAATATAACAACAGCTATATCAGATTGGCACAGGGATTCATTTAGCCTAATATCCTGCCTCTGGCAGGCACTGACTGACGCAGGTGCTCAGTTAGAGTTAAGGACCAGGACAAACACACGACCTTTCCCCCGAGTGTTCTCTGGAGGTTCTGTAGTTCATACAAAATGCCTCCTGCACTGGATGTCATTTCAATGTCATTCTCAATGGATTCTCTCCCAAGAACTTGCTCATTCTCTGCTTAAGCTTTTATAAGCTTTTTAGCTTCTACAAACTGCTGTGGCAAGTGTTTTATAGCCTAACTACATGGAGCACATTTTGCTTGTTTTGAAATGGACTCCTGATATCGCTCTCTATTTCTTGTATCGGAGAAAAGCAGGACTGCAGTGAACATTGAAATACAAGGACTATTGGCATTGGCTTTTTGATTAGGATACTTTTGAAGCAAATTTTCTCACTGTCCCCATTTATTGAGCATTGATTTGGTTTGCAGATAACTTGTAGTGCTTGCAAACTAATTTCCATTAGGAGGAAACTAAACAGGAAGCTCCACAGCAAATGCGCTCCAGTACTTAATACGGACAAAAGGAGCAAAATAATGCTTGAACCTTCAGACAGCTTTGAAACACATAAGTTGGAAATGTTCACCTCAGATTAAATCTAACTCAAAGCTTAAACCTCTGCTGTAAACACAATGGCCTTAGCTGCTTCAGTCTGCTGATCCAATCCTACTGCACCAAATTATTCCGTAATGCAGCCATAGATATTCTACATTACATGTATACAAATTACATAGAGATCCTTCAAAATTACTTCCCATAAGCTGCATTTGGCAAGGAGACTCCCTTCTGTCTGGCCTTGGAGTCATTAGGCTTGATCAGCTTTGAAAATGACAGGAACTGTCAAATGTAAAGTTTGCTGTCTGGTCTCACATCTAAATGCAAGTTCTTAATATGCTCTACTGGTTGGATTTGGTTAAGTCCATATCCTGAATAAAGTATCAGATCCTGTCATATGACAAGCAGACAATCTTAATCAATATCTCTTCTTTGAATTTAGATATGAAAGCCAGGACCAATTAAGAATGTGTCTTTCTACAGACAAGGGCTTTGAAAGTAATAACAGCTATTTACAAAATACACAGTTGTAATTTGCTGTAAGAATAGTCTTTTGTAGTCCAGGCAGCTATAGACTCTGAAGACCAGCCGCCAGTCTTATTCATCCTGCTTTCTGTACCTAGCTCAAAGAATGAGAGAATAAAAGGACTATGATCTTATGAATTTGCCTTATGAACCTGAGATATCTCTGGTGACTTCCTTTTACTGAAATGCAGAAGTAACCATTGAAGAGTCATGATCCTGTAATAGTTCTGAGTGAAACAGTATTAGAGTGAAATGGTAAAAAAAATGCAACTTATTTCTTCTCCATATTCTACTTGCTGAGGATGGAAAAGCGTGCCAAACACTACTTTGAGAATAAGAAACTACCAGAAAATATTTATTTGTAATGGGTCTAATATATGCATAGCAGCTTCCAGTTACAACAGAACCAAGACCTCTTCATGCATCAGACTATGATGAAATAGTTCCCCAAACAACAAAGGAAAGAAAATACTGGATACTGGTACAAACTGAAAGTTGGAGAAGGTTAGTAACTAATAGAGGCAAGCACAGAATGATTAAGGATAAAGAAAGAAAAATAGGTAAACAAAACTGCACAAAAATCTCACAGTCACTTCTGCCACTCTGGTCAAAATTTTTAGCACTTAATGAGTCTGACTGGATAGACTTTCTGGTATTTCTCTCCGACCTTAAACATGTGAATGCATGTCAGAAGGACAATTCACACAATGTCTACTTATCTAGTTGTACCCATTACAGCTCTTATTTTTCAGTATCTTACTATTTTCAGAACTGAAAGATCTGATGCATAGCTTTTTATAACTTTTCTAAGCATTCTGGAGAAATGACAATCTTCAAAATTATGAGAACACTCAGAGAAGCAGAAGTTAGAATGGAGACATCAGAACTCCTAGTTTTATATTCCAGGTCTGAGTTCGCATTGCTTAAAAACGTATGCTTCGTGAACTTTTACAGACTGGCAAATTGTAGGTTTTTATGCAGGGTAAAAATGCCCCACCTTAAACCAAGGTATTCGATTTTTTTGCCCCAAGGAAGGAAATAGATCTTTTCTGACTCATGTCTTCCAACCAACCGCAGTTAAGATTAATACAGAATCTAGGACAAGCCATAGACAAAAAACCCCTGAAAAAAACAACCCCAAACACAAACAACAAAACCCCTAATGACATTCTTCTCTGAACTTTATAGAGCCTGGACAGAGGATGTTAAAACAGTGACAAAAGGTTATTACGGCATTTTCTAGGCTCACAAGAACTCACCTTCCCTATTAGTCAAGACTCACACCTCTTACGTAGTCATGCCGAAAGGTAGTCAAAAGATAAAACCCGCCCTAGAAACATACTAGCCCCTTATTCAAGGGTCGAGGAAAAAAAGTACATCCCCAGAGAGGTTCAGCTGGGTTATCTTTTTCCAAAGCACCAAATATCGCATTCTATGACATCACAGAGTATGGAGAACA